CTCCCAGTTTCCCTGCCAGGCAGCATGGGGGGGACAGGATAGCTCCAAGTGGGGGCTGGGGTGCTGCCCTAGCGCCCACCTCCACCAACCTGCCCAGCGCCATCTCAGGAACTTCCCTTTCCGCCCTGGAGATAAAGTGTTTTTTCCCCTCGCCCGCGACAGCCGCCCCACCCACCGGCTTCTTGAGTGGCAGCCCTGCTAGGGCAGCTCCCGTCGGGGTCCCAGTCCTGGAGGGTGCGCTGGGCCCAGCAACTCCCTTCCTGCTCCCACAGCAAGCTCCGTGAGGTGGAGCTGGCCTCATGGTTGCAGAGCCCGGCGCTGGGACGAGCTGAGGCAGGGCTGAGGACCCCGAGGGGTGACCCCAGGCCCTAGCAGCAGCACCAACCAGGTGGGGGCTTGGCTCTGGCCAAGCTCACCCACTCAGCAAGGCTCGCATGGGGCCCCTGGGGCCCACTGTGTGTGTTTTCAGGTGGGATCTAGTGCCCACCTGGGGACCCAGGCTTATGGCTGGTGTGTGGCACCGTCCTGCTCCTCCCATCCGACTCTCTTGCGCTTTGGTGTGCACATGTCTCGGCAGACACTCGCCTGCTGGTGAGCAGGGGACTCTGGCCCCTGAGCTCTCACCCCCAGATGTCTCGCTTGAGATGAGCCTTTTCACAGGGGAGAGTTCTGTGGTCACCTCAGGACATTGCGAACAACCAGGCCACAACTGATACACAGCACAGCTGAAAGAAAGATGGACGGCAGCAAGTGCCCCGAGCTGTGGGGCGTGGTGGGTCTGTACTGTGGAGGCCATGGCCCGGAGATGTCAGGCGCTGGTTGCTGGCTTCTGCCGCTTCTGGGGCCAGCGGCTCCCCAGGAACAGCCCATGTGCATGCCCCAAGAGGACGTTCTTTGTGCACTTGGAAGGAGCCCCCAGGCACCAGCAGCCTGTTCCCCCAGCAGGCCAAGGTGACAAGCAGTAGCCACATGACAAAAGCAGCCCAGGAGCATCTTGAGGCCCCTACAGGGCATGGTCTCCTCAGGAGAGCCGTCCCTGGATACAGCACGAGGGCTCTGCGATGGGCAGGCTCCTACGCTACCATCTTGCTGCCATGGGGTTGGCCCAGCCCCCTCCAGGAGACACAGCCAGCCAGGTGTGGGGCGGTGCTTCCCCGTGCCCTGGTCCCCACTGCTCAGTCCCAGGTGCAGGGTGGGCCCTGCTTCCCCCGTGGGTCCGAGATTGATGCCCATGGAGAAGGGCTCCACCTCAGGCCCCCTGTCTGGAGCTCTAGCAGAACTGAGCGTGGCAGGCAGGGGCCAAGGCCAAGGCGGGTAGAAGTGCCATCCAAACAGGAAATGTGGCGGCTCCCCGGGTGGGGATGGTGGCAGGGGGACCCTTTCTGACACTTGGAGGCTGAGCCCACAGGGACATGCTGAGAGCCCAAGAGGAGGCAACACCACCTGGGCCTCTGGCTGAGCTCCGAGTGGGAGGACTGCAGAAAGCCGGGCGTGCGGGGGGAGGCGCCAGGAGGGAGACGGGAGCAGCAAGGGGAAGGGGCCAACTGTCCCCCAGAGTCTGCCCATGTCCAAGCTCCATCCCCCTGCCGCCTTGGGCTAGCAGCTCTGCCCTAGGCCTCTAGGCCTTGTCAACCAAAGGGGTGTCCCAGGAGGCACTGCACACACAGGCTTCTCAGACAGGTGGAGGGAGAGCTGTGGGCCCCACCTCAGGACACTGCCAGAACAGCAGGCCGCAACTTCACTCCCTCTCGGACTGGCCCAGCCTAGGAGTGGTCTGCTCATCAGGCCCTCAGTGACCCCTGCCCAGCCACCTCCCTTCCAGCCCTCACTGGGGACCAGTCCCTGGGCCAGACGCAGCCTCTGATGGGAAGGCGCAGCCACGTCTGGCATGAGGCTGGACCTGCGGCTGACAGAGCCATCCTGTCCCTGAGGCCAGCTGCCGCTCCACAGGATAAACAGGAAGCCCACCTCTCCACGGCCCTGGGCTCTGGTCCCTCTTCCTGCAGCCCGGCTCACAGTCTGCACCCACCGCCCCGGGTCTCATACCATCTGAGATGCCCACGCTGGCTTCTGCCAGGGGCTTGATCCGCCCTCTCCTGGGGCTGCGGAGGCCAGGAGCTCAGCGGTGAGGGACCCCAGGAGGGGTCCATGAGGCTCAGGAGCTCTGGCTGGCCTTGCCACTCCTCCCCTCTGGCCTGCACACTGTGGGAACAAGGCTGCGTCCCCTCCACCAGCAACCTCAGCACACTAACAGGTAGGCTGGAGGCAGCTGTGACAATCCAGTCCAACGCAGCCACAGATGGGGATCTGAGGCCCAGTGTGGGAACCAAAGCGCCAGCGTCCCCACCACAGCCTGCCCCTGCCTGGACACCACCCTGAGGGGGTGAGGCCCCAGCTCAGGGCTCTCGGGCCTGGATGGGAGCAGGCCCACCAGGGCCCCACCTGCGGGGCTGCGAGGGGAGGCGGGGCTGGGGTGGAGCTCTCTGCCTGCAGTGGGGGCAGCACAGGCCTGGGTAGGGGCCCACACCGACTCCTTCGAAGCATTCAGTGATCCCAAACAGGCGCCATCAGAGGGCAGAGGAGAGGGGTCTGGCGGAAGTGGGCATCTAGTGGGCACCTGCAGGGAAGGAGTAGTGGGACAAGCCAGTGGATCCTGAGACCTCTCCCTGACACACCTCATGTCAGAGCAGAGAGCCTGGACCCCCCCCCTTGAGGTCCCCTGAGGGATGGGGGAGGCTCAAGGAGCACCCCCCAGGGGTTCAGTTAGGGTACAGGCAAGCCTGGCATTTGGGGCCCTGTGCCAAGGCCCCTTCCCTAGTCTTGACTGGGAGGGGCTAGAAGGCGGCAGAACTTGTCAGGAGAGGACCAGAGACAGGAGGGTACAGATTGGGCAAGGCCTTGCTGGCACCCAGGAGCCCAGCACGAGGCATCCAGACCATAGGGACCCAGGATTAAACCCTCCTGCCTGCAAGCCCACCGTTCAGCCACCAACAGGGTTCCCTTGTGCTGAGTGCCAGGGCGAGGGGTGGCCTACCAGCCCTCCAGTGCTGCCAAGTACTTCCAGCCCCGGCCATCCTGGGCAAGGTCTGATGCCTGGACTGTCCAGATTGGGGGCTAGGAGGAACTGGGGTTCCTGAGAAAGGGAGGAACAGCCTAAGCAGAGCCCAGAGCAAGTCCTGCTGTCCCTCACGGCTCACCTGGGCCAGATCTCCACCCTCTCTGGGCCTCAGTTTCCCCTTCTGTATACAAAAGGCCCAGATCTGGCCAGCCTGGACCAAGGCTAGTTCTGCCCCTGGGGCCAGAGCAAATCCCTGGGTGTGGGGCTGAGGCAGAGACAGGCAGTTCCTAGAGCCAGGGACAGAGGGGCCCCTCCAGGCTGGGCCCTGGGTCTCTCTCACGGGCCCTGTACACCGGCAGGACACCCTGGCTCTGGTGTGCAAGATGAACTCTTGGGCAGGGGCTGGGGACTAAAGTGTTACAATGGGAATGAAGACCAGACTGCAGGGAGGCAAGCGTGGAGGGGCATGGGGAGGGGGGCTCTGCCTGTCCACTCCTGAAAGAGGCCCCCAAACCCCTCCCACTTAGACCAACACCACCCACATGCCAGGAGCCCCCTTCCGCCATCAAGACCTGGTGGCAAGCACCCCTCTTACTCCCATGGAACAGATGAGGAAACGAGTCTGGGGGATGGACACCATCTGTGGCAGGGTGGGCTCACCTGGGCCACCAGACAGAAGCCCCTGCTCCCTGACAGCCTGGTGCCTGCAGCAACCCATTCCCCTGGCCATGGGGTCTGGGGGCTGACCCTGCTGATGCCCAGTGGCCCCGCAGGGGATTTGCCAAGTTTCTCCCACCTCCCTCTCGGCCTGAAGTATTCACCTGGGCAAGGCAGAGAAAGCTGGAGCAGGAGAGACTCCCAGGGCCTGAGGAACAAGGCGTCCCAGGCCTTAGGCAGGCAGGGGCTGACCCCAAAGCAGGGCTCCTGCCCCAAGGACAGCCAAGGTTGCGAGGCCCTGCTCCTGGGCACACTCGGCCCACTGCATTCTGGGGTGTGACCTCGGGAACTGTTGGCTCTCTGCACAGTGTGCGTCCCACCTCATCCACTGTTAAGGTCTGTGTGCCCAGCCTGGACTCCCACTGCTGAGCTCGAGACCTGGGGGTAAGACCTCAGGGAATCTGAGGGGCTCCCACTTTGGCCACCCCAAAGCTCCTGCATCCTTCCCTAGCCTGCCGGAGGCCAAGGAAGGGAGGACAAGGGACTGAGAGCATATTTGGCCCTCCAGGTCCTGAGCACCCTCTTCCCTGAGCACCCCGGCGAAGTGGGTCAGGGTTTTGGGCCTCCATGCCCATCTCTAGGGCAGGGCTTACTGCCTGTGGGCAGCTCTTTCTGAAGAGAAAGAGCTCAGAATCCTGGAGAAAGCTGGAGTCTCCCTGTTCACGTCTGACCCTCCCATCACCCCTCCCACAGCCAACCCTGGGTGGGCCTCAGGACCCACAGGATAGGCTGTTCTCAGACCGTCCAGCCTGTCCTGCCACCCCCAGATCCTTCCAGAGGGGTCCTGCCATGCACCACCTGACCCACTGGCCAAGTCTCCAGCATGGCTGGCCGCTTCCTTGGGCTGGACCCCTCCAAGTTCCCACACTGTGTCATCTGGGGGTGGCTCAAAGATGCAGAAGGTCCCTCTGCCACATGGATGGGCCTGTGGGAAGGCCTTGGCTCCACATCATCTGTCCCACAGTCCTGAGGGCCACCAGCCAGGCTGCAGCTGAGCCAGAGCCCACTCTCTGGCTGCTTCAGGGATAAACCAAGAAGTCCCAGGAGACAGCTCCCCCTCCCTGGCAGCCCGCTGGCCCCTCTCAGCAGCCCCCGCTGCCCCCAGCCTCCTGTTTGTTCGCTGACAGATCCCCGTTATCAGAGGAGAACACACACAGGAAGTCCGGTCGGGAAGGGCCCATCCCAATCCCGATTTACACGGGACCCAGCATAAAAAGCCGCCCTTCCTTGCCCGGGAGGAGCCTCCATGCCCCAGTCGGCCACTCCGCAGGCCCAGATGGAGGCTGCAGCGGACAGGACAGGCGACCGCCCTCAGGAGGTGCCTTGGGGTGTCTGGGCCCAACACCCCCACAAGGGGCAGGGACCATGCCTGGCCCGAGTAGGCAGCAGTGGTGGCTGTGGCCAAGCCTGGGCGGCATCAGGTATGGCAGGGTGACTCTGCAGGGGCAGGGAGCGGGCAGAGAGGGCCCTGAGTACCCCCGTGTGGGATGAGGTGGCTGCAGCCCCCGTTGGCTGGGCTTGAGCCGGCCACCTCTGGATGCTGTCCCAGCTGCAATCCCACTTGCCTTTCTGGCTGGTGCTATCCCCGCTGAGGCTCTGGGCCAAGCCCCCACTAGTGGGTGTCCCAGTCTGGACTCCCACCCCTCATCCCTGGCTGCGCAGTGGCTGTGTGCCTCTATAGGGAGACTGAAGACGGCCTGGCTCACAGCCTCACCTCTGCCACCCCCCACCGCTTCGCCAGAGGAACCCCTGGGCTTGGCAGCAAATCTCAGCGGGGTTTGGTTCCCCTCACTATTCCTCTGCTGCAACCCAGTGTGCTGAGGGCTGGGGTCTTCTCAGATTGTCCCTAGTGGACAACACTCCCAGGGAAATCAGGGAAATATGTTGGTCTGGAGATCAGCCCCAAGGGAGGGACCCTGAAGCCCATCTGTAGCACAAATGAGCTATGTGTCCTGGGGGCACAGCATGTGGGGCAGGGAGCAGCACCCCTCTCTTGCTGGGCTGGCTTTGGGGGCTCAATCTCAGGGACAACTTGGAGGGGTGCAATGTGGACACAAGGTGACCCTTTTGGCCCACCCTGTCCACCAAGGAAGCCTCCCGTTCTCCTCCCCAGCCCCTAAGTTAGGTAGTAAAGGTCTCAAATCCCCCAAAGCAGCACCAGGTCTTTTGGCCCCCACCCCCGTCTTTGGTGTCAAAAGGCCTGTCAAAGAAGGCCCACTGTTCAGGTGAGGAACAGCTGAGGCCTCAGCCCAGGTTAGGGCAGGAGGACCAGTGCAAGAACCTCTGAGCTTCCTTTTTTGCTGCATCTTCTCTGTCTGATGGGCAGGAGGGGTGGACTGATGGCCAAGGGTTGAGCGGCCGCCATAGCTTCAGAGGATGGGGCAGGGGCCTCTCCTTCCCAGGGCCTCCAAGCCCTGCTCCCTCCTCAGGACTGAGCAAGAGCTTCCCTCTTGGATTTAGGGGGTCAGGAAATCCAGGAGCCCCCATTCCCAACAATAGACATCCCCTTAGACCCACCTTCAGAAGTTCCCAGGATCCGTGGGTCCAGGGCAGAGGCTGCTGAATGGAGAAGGGCGAGGCCTCGCTCAGGGGCTCTCCTTCAGCACACGTGCAGCTCAGAGCTGTGGGCCTTCCCCATCCATCTGCAGGCCCCTCACACCACACCCAAGCTTTTTTCTTTGCACCTGGTCCTTAGAGCCAGACTTTGAGCAACAACCCCATTTTACAGATGGGAGCCTAAACCCACCACTGTGGCTGCTCCCTGGGCAGCTCCAAGAGTCCAGTTTGTCTGGGGACCTAGGGTGGAGGTGGGTGCAGGATGGAGTTCTATAGGTCTAGTGCAGGTTGCAGGCTGCAGTGCCATGACCACATCAGAGCCTGGACTCAGAGCCCCTTCCCAGCCCCTGGGCCTCAGGGAACCAAGGATCTGCCAAGGCACTAATCCACATGCCATCTGTGACCTGCAGCCCCTGGCACCAGCGAGTTGTGGTGGCCCCCCTCACATAGAAGAGCAGCAGTCTCCAGTGTGCAGGGGATGACGAGCTCCCCCACACCCGGTGAGTTCTCAGCAGGCCTCCAGGTGGCAGCCACAGGGCCTGGCCTTGCCAGGAGCACACTTCACCTGTGTGTGCAACCATTACCCGATCAGGGCCAGACTCAGGGTCAAGGAACTGCCAAGGTGGGTGGGCCAGGGCCTCACACTCTTGAGATAATCAGGCATGGAAGTGTGATTATACCAGAGGCACTGTGACACTTTAGCCCTGAACACAAATGTGGAAATTGAAGTGGGGAGAAGAGAGATGATCAGCCTAAGAGCCTCTGGAGGTGACCATGGGGATGAGGGGTCTTCAACCATAGGGAGGAGCTCTCAGTGGTCTTAACTGCCCCAAATAAGACAGCTTGAGGTCACACCCAGGACCCATCTGGGCACTGTTCTGACTCTGGGCGGGTACTGGGTCTCTGGGAAGAGGGTCCTGATGCCTATCCCATAGTGGCTGCAGGTGGAGGTCAAATTGGCTTCTCCTTTCTAGCAGGCTGGTGGGTTGGCGGCTCCGATTACCATCCTGGGGCCAACCCTTGGGCTAGAGTTAGCATAGATTCAGTATGGGTGCCCCTTGTCGCATCTGGTTTCCAGCGCTAGCGGAGTTTGGTGACCCCAGTCGCCAAGCGTTCTACCCGCTGCCAGGCTAGGGGCTCCGAAAGGACCAGGACTTGCGATGGGGACTCAGGGGTGTGGGGCAGCGCTCAGAGGCCAACTTGAGCCAAGACCC